TTCCAATTAAATAAATCAGTCACAGAGATAGAGCAGAGAACAAAGAGAAAAGAGCAAAGCCTACAAGAGATGTGGGATTATGTGAAGAAACCTAATGTGAGGGTTATAGGGTTACCACAAGGGGAAGAAGAAAACACTCAAGGGTTGCAGAAGCTATTTGAAGATATAATAGAGGAAAATTTCCCAGGCCTTGCTAAAAATCTCCAGATACAAGTTCAAGAAGCTCAAAGGACTCCTGGGAGGTTCAATGCAAACAGGAAGACGTCACGACATGCACTCATCAGACTGACCAAAATATCAACTAAAGAGGCCCTTCTAAGAGCTATAAGACAAAAGAAGCAAGTAACATACAAAGGAAAGCCAATCCCAATAACGCCAGACTTCTTTACTGAAACTTGGAGAGACTTGGGCCCCATTCTCACTATTCTGAAACAGAATAATCTCCAGCCTAGAATCTTATTCCCTGCAAAGCTAAGTTTTGTATATGAAGGAGAAATCAAGACATTCTCAGATGAGCACAGACTGAGGGAATTCACCAAGACAAGACAAGCCCTTCAAGAAGTACTCAAAACAGTGTTACCCACAGATCAGCACAATAAACACTCACAAATGTAAATCTACTCAAAGCTAAAGATCAAAGTCCAGAAATCACAATGGCTCAAGAGAGAAAACAAAGCAACGAAGTTCAACCCACCATAATGAACAGAAATCTGCCCCACCTATCAGTTATCTCAATAAATGTGAATGGATTGAACTCCCACTCAAGAGACATACGCTGGCTGAATGGATAAGAAAATACAAACCAAGTATCTGCTGCCTTCAGGAAACACATCTAACCTGCAAGGATCCAGTTAGACTAAAGGTAAAGGGGTGGAGGACAATATTTCAAGCAAATGGAAGCCAAAAGAAAGCTGGCGTGGCAGTGCTGATTACAGATAACTTAGTTTTTAAATCAACAAAAGTAATAAAAGACAAAGGTGGTCACTATATAATGGTGAAGGGTACAGTTCAACAAGAGGACATAACAATTCTAAATATATATGCACCGAACCTTGGTGCACCCAGATTCACAAAGCAAACTCTACTTGATCTAAACAAATGGATAAACAACAACACCATAATAGTTGGAGACTTTAACACCCCACTGACAGCAAAGGACAGATCCTTCGAACAAAAATCAACAAAGAAATAAAAGACTTAAACAGAACTCTAGAACAAATGGGCCTGACTGACATTTACAGGACATTCTACCCCAAAACCACTGAATACACATTCTTCTCATCAGCTATGGGTCATTCTCTAAGATTGACCATATCCTAGTACACAAAGCATGTCTCAAACAATTTAAAAAAATGGAAATTATATCATGTATCTTTTCAGACCACAACAGAATAAATGTAGAAATCAATCCTAACAGTTCTCATTTCTACACAAAGTCATGAAAACTAAACAAGCTTCTGCTGAATGATCACTTCATAAATGAGGAAATCAAGATTGAAATCAAAAGATTCTTTGAACTAAATGACAAAGCAGACACAAGTTACTAAAACCTGTGGGACACAGCTAAAGCAGTCTTGAGAGATCTCTCTGGTGTTATTTCAATCTCTGAGATTCTTTCTTCTGTTTGATTTGCCCTGTTCTTGAGACTTTCCACTGTGTTTTGTAGTTCCCTGAATTGATTCTTGATTTCCAGGACTTCGGTTAGACTATTCTTCATTGTTTCGATTTCTTTAGTGAATTTTTGTGCCAGGTCCTGAGATCTTTTTGCATTTTCTTTGTGTTGGTTATCCAGTTGTTCTTGCAAGTCGTTGAATTTTCTTACTATCCACGTTCGAAATTCCTCTTCTGTCATTTTAGTGGTCTGATTTTGTTTGGTGTCCATTTCTAACAGGCTGGTTCTCCTCTTTGGGGGTTTGCTTTCCGTTTGGTTCTTCATATTTCCAGAGTTCCTTCGCTGATTTCTTCCCATCTGAATCAGTTGTTGCTTCTTGCCTTTAGGTTTTCATTTGGATAGTGACATGCCCTGTCTAGTTTCTGAGCCAGTAGGTTGTGTTTGTAGGTGAGATTCAACCACTCCCAGTATGATGAATAAGTAGGTGCTGTGAAAAGGGTGTACAGGATGTCCTCCCTGTCAGTAGGTAGCGCTTGCTCGGATGACCAGGCTACACTGGTTTTTTTTGTGTGTCTTGTATCCAGTTTTTTTTCCTCTGGATAGATACTCTAGTACCTCAGGTGGTGGGTGGGGCCCTGGGACTTCCAGGTGTGTCCTTATTCTCCACCTCAGTGAGGGCTGGGCTGGTCTGTGAGTGAGTCTGGGTGGAGCTGGGTTGGGTAAGCCTACCATCAGGCACCACAGATGCTGTTAGCAGGGGTCAAAGTTCTGTTCTCTGCTTCCGGGGGAAAAGCTGTCAGGGAGGGGCTGGAATGGCCCCGCTTAGTCAGAAAGTCTGTGTGTGGGTGTGGGGCCATCTGAGACCCTCAGTCTGGAGCAGGCCTCACTCCTTTCCTCCCTCCCAACTCCGAGGCTACTCCTGGGCCTCTGCCAGCAGGCCAGACCTCATGCCACTGGGCCTTCCCTGGCTGTGATGCCAGCCGGGAGGTTCCCTGTGCAGGAAAGCCACCTGGGCTGGGCACACGGCCCATCTTTGGGAGGAGGGTTGCCCTCTAGGATGCTGATCTGCCCCTGAAGGCACACACACCTCAGTAGGCTGTTCACGTGTATCCCTTCTGTGCCCCAGGCAATGGGAGACCTGGGTGCACAGAATCTGGTCTTCAGGTCTGACCTCTGGGCCCCAGAGTTCAATCCCTAACCCCACCAGGGAGAGGATTGGAAGTCCTAATCACCCACAGGGAGCCCAAGCTGGGTTGATGTCTCTCAGCCTCAGGGTCTGCCCCGTTGTGGAATCACCAGGCCAGCAGCACCTGTGAGGGCTGGTGGGTAGGGAGCTCACTGTGTGAGTACCCCTCAGTCAGCTGAAGGGCCCCAAAAGGGAAGGTCCCATTCCCTGGAGATGCCTCTGGCTGGTGGCTATATTGTGTCTCTTGGCAGTTGCGGATAGGGACAGGGAAGGGGAGAAAGAGGCAATATGGTGCTTGCCACACGGCTCGGGTCTATGCACAGGGAGGTGCCTCGAGGGTCTTGGGAGTCTGGTGCCGTGTCTGCTACCGGCTTACCGCTCACTGGCGGTGGCCGTCTCTGGGCTGGTGTCTGCAGGTCTCTCCAACCACTGGGGAGCCCATCAGCAGTCCGAGATGCAAGGGAAAGGAATTTATCTGCCCCACCTACCCTTGCCGCTGGTCTCCAGGCTACTTGGGAGGTCTCTGCTTCCAGTTCTCCTCCGTAGCCTCCTCCCGTGGAGTCTCCCGTGGTCTCAGGTACCCCTCCTTCCGACCCTCATCCTACGTATGCTTGTCCGCTTGCTTGTTTCTTCTTATTTCTCCTAGAATCTGTGTTTTCTGCAGAGACACTCTATCTGATGGTGTTTCTCATCCGCCATCTTGCTCTGTCCTCCTATAAAGTCTTTATATTTTAAATGAGTCACTTTTTTACTAATACTTTGATCAGTGGGAAATTTAGAGATTATACATCAAAGGAAGAAAAACTACTGCTTTAAATATATGTGTTTTAAATTTATGACAGAATCATCTATTCATTTAGAATACATTTATTAAGTACCTACTATGCACCAGGCACTGCTGGTTTTATAAAATACAAAGATAAATAGTATATTTTCTCTGTCCTTAAAAAAAAAAAAAGCTTATAATTCTCTATCTTCTGGGGAAGACAGACCTATAAACTGCTGACGTGGCCCGATTACAGGACGAGGGATGACACAGAACATAAAATAACGACAAAGACACTCATGGACATGACAATGACTCAAATGACCAATGCACCGGTTGTTTTATTTTTATACCCCCCAGACCCAAGGTTAGTTCCTTGTACGTGAGCATCTGAGCGTAGCAGCGATATCAGTCAATTCCGGAGTTGTTTCAAAAGAGAACAATTTCTCATGGTCTCAGACCTCTAATAGTTACTAAAGTTAAGGTGCCGGACAGAGCTCAAAAGCCAAGGCCGAGATAGGCAACATAAAACAATGTAGCCATTTGAAGTGCTTCTTGGTCTCAATCTCAGGTGGCGGCTCCTCTCTGGCCCCCATGGTTGTGCCTGTTTTAGGTCGCCCCCCTCCATGGGGAGTCTTACCCGTCATTGACTACCAACCAACAATCGGGGGCCAGTTCTTGGGAGAGTTCTTTTTGTTCTTGTTTTTATGGCCTCTAGACTCCCACCACGGTGGCCCTCTGTGTGGGAGTTGGGAGCATTTGCTTATGTGCAACACATTTGCTTAAATCAACTATATTACAGGCTATAGTGAATGATTAATATAAGGCATAACACCAAAATCAGCCCCCAACAAACTGCTGCTGTAATATAAATACTAATAATACAGGACTGTGGGTAAAGTGTTTCCTGAAAGAGTCAAGGGACACTTTATCCATGAAGTCTTCTTTAGGGGATGCTATTTAAACTAAGTATTAAGGAAGAATAGAAAGTTTCCTTCAGGTAAGAGGAAGAATGTCTTCGCAGGCACTTAAGTATTAGGATCAGCCAATTCAAATCAATATGTGAAAACGTTTTAAATTTAATTAGATCAACACTAATAATGCTAGTTAATACTAATAATACCTATTAATTTACAGAAAAAGAAAGCACTAAATGGTGGAGATCATTCAGATTCAACAAATTCAGTATCATCTTTTAACCCTGTGAAAGAACATGGTGTGTTGTTTGAATGCTCACCTGAAAACTGGACTGATCAGAAAAAAGCACCACCAGTTATGGCTTACTGGGTAGTGGGGTAAGTGGGAAGAAAAGTATTTGAGCATAAAGTAAAATGTTAGAAAAGTGAAAGAAAAATAGTAAAGGAGATCAACATTTTAAAATGTAGGCACAGAAATTAATCTAGCTCTCAAATTTTAATATATTTTAGAATTTTATTTGCTAAGTATCTCCTTTAAATCCTTCCCAAAGACTTTTTCCACTAAAAAAAAAATTTTTTTTCTGTTATATTACAAAATTATATTAGTAATACACTAAAAGAATAACACCACCATTTTTCTATTTTTCTTTCCATCCTTTACTACTTCCTTCTCTTCTTCACTCTCCCTCCTTGCTGTTTTTCTTTCCTTTCTCTTCTCTCTTTCTTTCCTTCCCCCTTCCCGGTTCCCCACCACAACACCATGTCCAATCAGGCCCCTGCCCCCTGTTTCCATCTCCTATCAACCTCCTCCTCCATCCACTGAGCACCAGCTACACTGGCACCAATCAAATCTTGTTTCTGTTGTTCCTTCTGTGTGGGATATTCTACCCCTTAACCTTTTCATATCTAGCTCTTTGATATATACCAGTAGTAATGGGTCATCTCCTTAGAGAGGATCCATGATCTCTTTCCCCCATTAAAGTGGCTACTCAGGTCTTCTCTGTATCATCCTATTATTGTTTATTTTCTTGTCTTTCCCCTTTCACTAGAATGTCAGCTTCATGAGATCAGAAATTATATCTGTCTTGTTCATAAGTGGCACCTACAACAGCACCTCATACATAATAGTCACTTGATAAATATGTGACAGTTTAGTAGATGGAGTTGTGCTTGGCAAAATGTGGTGGTGGGTGGATAGGTGGGTGGTATGGCAAACACACAGATGAAGACATGGTCATTGCCTCCAAGGGCCTTACATCTAGCCTTAGAAATATGAATTATGCTCAAATATCTATATATTTGTAGATCTATATTAGAGAAATAGATATATATATAAAATATATATGTCTACTATATATAAATGTATGTGTAAAATGAATCAGGTGATAAAACCAAATGCTATAGAAATTCTGAGGGGGGATATATTTTAAATAAGGATTACAAAGAAAGGCTTAGAGATTCCCTTTGATCTGTTTAGAAAATGAGTTGAATTTGCATAGACCATTCTAGGAAAGGAGAATAGGATGAACAAAGATCCAACAGTGGAAATCACAAATCACAAGGCATGGCAGTGAATAGACTGGTTTGCTAGGATGTTAAAGGAATGACATATACAAAGATAAAGTGAAAGATCAAGGTGGAAAGCTAAGTTAAGACCCTGCAGAGAGCCTTCACTGAAGGTTCTTTGAGTTGCAGTAATATTTGGTGGAGGAAAGGGCACAGAGTTGGGTAGGACTAAGGTTAGTGGACACCCATGATGTAGTATTAAGCTGTATGAAAAACACTTTACAAGTCCCTTTTGTAAAGAGATTTAGAATCTTTAAAATCAGAGATGCTTGGGCTCCAACCCAGACCTACTGAATCAGAATCTATGGGAGTAGGAATCTGTATTTTTAGTAATCTTCCTTGTGATTATGATGTGTAAGCAACCAGGCTTGGGAACATCATCATAACTCCATGTAGTGTGATCAGAGTTATACTATTGGAAGATTAAGCTAGGAGCAGCCAATAGAATGCTGTGGACACAAGAGAGACTAGAGATGAAAAGACCAGTTAGGTACAAGGCAGGTATACAGTGGAGCATTAACTATGTTTACAACAATTGGAACAAAAGAAACAAATGGTGTTGAATTATCATGATGCAGATGTATGTAGAAGGGAAATGTTAAGAAAGTGAGGCAGAACTGTCCTCAGTTTAAATAGTTCAGTGTGTGTGTGTATGTGTATATATATATATCTTAGTACTGATTAAATAGATTAAAATTTTAATTCTTTAAGAAAACCAAATAAAATTTTAATGTTAATCCCAATTCAATACTATCTGCAAAAAAAGCTATCATATTCTTAACAAAATAAAACATTAGAATGCAAATGGCAATAAAATATTTAATAACTATTGTGCTTAAAATGATGCTAATACTGTTGGCTTTATTGTAACAATAATGACTGGACTTAATATTTAAAAACTGAGCAGTATGGTAATACATATTGATAAAATAGGATTTTTATACTCTGGAACAATAAAAATAATTGACCTAAGGCATGTATGATTTATTAATATTTAGAAATCAATCTAGCTGCATTCCCCCTACTAGAGATTTAGATTAGTGGTTTTTTAATTTACTACTGATTCTTTCAGGAACAAAATAAAATAAAGGGTTAGGGTTTTCTTTTTTTAATTTTTTTTGTTTTAATTTCTGAAATGAATGTGTTTTTTTCTTCTGCAGGAGACTCTTTCTTCATCCAAAACCTCAAGAACTTTATGTTTGTTTTCATGACTCAGTAACAGAAATTGCCGTTGAAATGGCTTTTAAATTGTTCTTTGGATTAACCTTGTAGCTGTGTTTTCTTGATGCACAGAAACACATGCATAAAACATCAAACTGAATTGCTGTTTGAGTTGTTAGAATTGCCAAGAGCAATACACAAAGAGAGAAGGTTTAGCTTCTTTTCACCTTTCAATATTGAACATAATATTGTTAAATACTGAGATGAAATGCTGTTGGAATTGATGCATTAAATCTTAATGTAATATTGTTAGACTTTGAGAAGATACTTGATCAAAATATAAGAGGGGATTCCTAACTTATTGCTATTTTTCTATATAATGTTAATTTATTGACTAGTTTGAAATAATGTGAAGTATTTTATATAAAATTAATATAGGAAGTGTTTATTTTGGAAAAATACCCAATTTATCGTTTATTTTTCTCAAAGCTAGTATTGATATCTGGTGAAGGAATCATGACATTGGAAGGAGGTGACCAGGTTCTTTCACTGATTCGTACTGTGACCATGAACAAGTTTTATACCTCTCTGAGCTCAGAGTTTTCATGTACAAATGAGATGATTTTTTGCGTTGAGGTTTTTAAAGTCCCTCTTGAGTAAAGTAAAATGTACTGCTTTTTTTTTCTCTTGCATATTGGTCAGTACCTAAATTTATAATGTCTAAGTACTGATTCCTTATCAGAACCTTATCAAACTACTTTTCATTAGTTTAAGTATTCTAGTATATACCTCACTGTGGGAAAAGAGGGGAAAAAATGAAAATTAAACTTATTTTTTATTTATTTAATTTTCTTTACTCTTTCAGGTTAGCTCAGATTTGACTAAGATATATTTTTAAAACTATTTGTCTGTAAACTGTCATTGTTCTTTTTTTGTTAAAACATATTCAGGTATACTACATGCACATTTTATACAGTTCATGAATTTCAGGAAAGTTGTATGTAAATCTTTTTAAAAATCAAATCATGTTTAAAAAAACACTGAAAAAGTTGGCTAAAGAAATCCTATGGTGACTTCTTTTCTAAAACATAAACTTTAGTCTTAGAAATATGGATCATTATGTATTGGGTTTTCCCAAAGGGGGAACACTTTAGTGAACAATAGTTTATTTGACCTTTAGTAGGAAAAGAAAACTAATGGTATGAGAATGTTCTTTGGCTAAGAGAATTTGATAGATTGAGAGAAAGGAAGAACATAAATACTGCATTTTTAATTGACATTTACCCAGTTGATCTTCCTGGAAGTTCAGTGCACCCAACACTCTACAATACTGGGCTGTTTCTTCTTTAGGACTTAAGCTTTGGAAGACAAGTTATACCAGCACATCTAAAATCAGTCTTTCCATTTCCTTACCTCAAATGTGAGCCGGCCAGCACAGTTGGAACTAACTGCAAAACATAGCTGGGACACCATTTGAGTCATTTTTTCCTAAAAGAAACACATTATCATTCTGTCATAGTGTAAGAGATTTTCACCTAGGCATAAACCACAGCATATTTGTCCCATTAGTGACTAGTGGGCCTTAACTTTGATATTCACATTAAGGTAATAAACCTTGGTTCTTGAAATGTTGTAGAAAATAGCTTGAAATATCCTTCTCTTAAAATCACAATATTGAGTCAAATAGTAGAGTCTTAACTACTGTCTGATGACGGTTTGTACACATATATGTATTAAGGCGCTTTATTTAAAAGTATTTATTAAATGTCTTAAATTTCTGGATATGTCCCTCAAAACACCATAACCTATTTCTAATACTGATAATTATTAATAAATGCATTTATTGATCATTTCAGGTTTTCAGACAGACTGAACTAAGGCTTGGGCTTTTATTACAGGGGACTTTCTTTGTTTCATCTAATGAAATTTTGATCTGTTGAATTGCTTTTCTGATGTCAAAGAATCAGAAGGCCATCTCTCAATAAGTGAAATAAAAAGGCAAAGCATACTGCTGATGTTAATAAAAGGAAAATTATTTGCTATATTGTAGATGTGCACTATAATTTCAATGTTACAGAGGCACTGCATTTTTTAAGAAATAAAACCAAACATTATCTTGTTTTTCATCTCTAAATAGATATTGAAGTAATAAGCATTATAGGTAAACTTAGCTGCCTATTTTTCCAAATATGCAGGCACATCTGAAAGTAGGTCAATCTGATAATTGGATAATAATGTGCCTATGACTTTATTATTAAAGGGAACAATGTGACAGTGCAGACATCCCAGAGGTATACTTTAGCAGATATAGAAACATTAAGTCAAATTTATTAGTATCATGCAAATGTACCCTTCCACCAAAGACTATTAATGTGAAGAACTATATAACTGACATTTAAAGAATAACAAATACTGTCTTATCGTCTGCTTTTTAGCCCCCCCCAAAATGATATTTTAGATTCTCTCTCACTTTCTTTCTCCTTCCTTCTTTCTTTCTCTCTCTCTCTCCCTTTCTTTAGCTCTTTTTTGTTTGTTTTTCTCATGTCAGAGAACTGTACTTAGGAAGGGAATGTTTCTTATTTGTGCCAAGGGACTATTGATGATGGTGCATAATGGCAAGATAGTAATTTTGCAGTGCTTACTTTTTATATATATATTTCTAATACAAATGGGCAAAGCTATGAAACCAATTTACTAGGTTTTTCTGCTTTGAACGTTATTTGTTATATGTATTAATTCTCTCTAAATAGTGCCTGGCACATATTATGTGCTATAAAAATGTTAGCTCTACTACTATCATTTATTATTATTATTATTATTAAATATCCATTGGTTGAAAACCAAGGAATAAGTTAAATCATACCTGCTACTTTACAAAATATTGGACAGAAGTTGAGAAAAATTCATCAATAAACGATTTTGAGAACAAAGATTTATACTTTGGATCTTTTAAAATATGTTATTAAATGTTATTAAAACTTTAATGTATATATAAAACTATATGAAATAATTTAATTTGCCGAGTTGTATTTCTACATTCTATATAATTAAAGCTATTTTTATACTGTATTGATAGTTTTAAATAAAAATGGTCTGGAGGTTTGTTTGCAATTGTGTTGTCTTTCTGTGCATTCGTCCAATAAATATTTATTGAATTTCTACCCTGTGCTGAGTACTGTTCTGGATGCTGAGAATACAGCAATAACAAAACAGCTTAAAAATCCCTGCCCTCCTATAGTTTATGTTCCAATGGGAGAGGCTGACCATAGACAAGTAAGTAAAATATGTTGACAAATGCTAAGAGTAAAAATATTGAAGCAAGAAAAAGGGATATGTAACATGGCAGATGGGGAAAGTTCGCTCAGAGGGAGGGGAAGAGAGACACACTCAGGTTGGAAAGTCCACTTAAGAGTTGAATAAGCCTCTATGGAAAGGAAGTAGCACCAAACATACACCACCGGTAGGACTTGCCAACTGGTTTTATGTGTAAAGTATCCAAAATATTAACAACATTCCTGGTTTGGAGTCGTCCTGGCCTAAATGGTTTTGACTAGTGACAAGTAATATTAGAAAGGTTACAACATACTTAAGATAATGAAAAAATCAGAACCCAAAGTTCAAAAAAAGCTAAAAACTCATCTTACATTTTATAGATGTGTTTCAAGGCTCTGCAGGACCTACAGAATAAGAGATGGTAAGATGGGATCTTCATTTATTAAAAACCATCAAACAAGCTGTAAAAACGAATCAGGAATATATCCCATATCACTACAGAAGGACCTCCAGGATATATATTAAGTGAAAAAGACAAAGTGGAAGAAAATAAAGACATGTTATGTGCAGGATAGATGTACCTCTACTGAGTATTCTTGCCAAAGGAAGTCAAACCTGAATCTGATTATCAGCCTCTAGATAAGTTCTCAATGTGTGGTATGGGGGACCCCTCCCTATCACTGAGGCTCTTTTAGGGGCTCCATGAGGTCAAAACTATTTTCTTAATAATAACAACACATTATTTGCCTTTTTCACTTTAATTCTGTCCTGCATGGACAGTAGAGTTTTCGAATTGCTACATGTGTGATACTGCAACAGACAGAATGTAAAAGCAGTAATGTGAATCCAACTTTTATTAAGCCAGACATTAGAGTTTCAAAAATATAAAATAGTGCTATTTTTCTCACAACATTTTTTGTTTTGAAAAAGTATTTTTTATTTAAAAGTGTTATTTATGTTTCCTATAATGGATTTGTTGTTCTAAATGAATTAATACACATTTTTAAATTTTGTTTTAATTTTTGATATGGCAAATGTCAAAATAACAAAAACAGAAGTTTCACTGTGTCTTCAGTAATTTTTAAGAGTAAGAAAAAGGGATTCTGCAATCTAAAAGTTTGTGAACTACTCTTCTAAAACAGGTCATTGGCTCTCAACCCTGCACACTAGACTTACCCGGGGAATTTAAATACTGACGCCCCCACTTCCAGAGATTCCAATTTACTTGTCAGTGCCTAATTCCACGCAAAAATTTAAACAAAAAACCCACCCTCCCCATCCTCTTTGAATGTGCAGTCTGGACCCAGAACCACTGCTCTAGCTGGAATTATCCATTTAAATACAAAAATATGGAAAGGAGGAACATCTTGAATTATGCTATGAGGGGTGCCACAACAAAGACAGGCAATGAGAAAGTGACTTACAAACGATCTCTGCTTAAAGGAACGGAGTAAATCAATTTCTAAGATGAAAGTAAAGGGGATAACCCTGTGACCTAAACTTCGTATAATCCCACACTCTTGGCCTACTGCTCTGCCCTAGTTTCGGTTGCTAGATTTCCTAAAACAGAGCTGGCCCTTCTCAGTCCCTTCCTGTGCCTCTCCCGCCCCGAACCCACCGCCTCCAGACCCCGCCTTCCGCAAGCAGAGCCGGGGCTTGGACGTGGGGAGGCGGCGCCTAGCGCACGGAAGCCACGTGTCGGGAGTCACGTGTCAGGCGCCAGGTGTCGGGAGGCGGTTGGAGGCGCCTGCGCAGCTTTTTGCGGCCCCGCCCTGCGTGCCTATCTCCCATCGTCCTAAGCGCTGCTTTCCCGCCAGGACGACGCTGAAGCGGTTTTCTTTCCCTTCTTCGTCGCCTCTGCCCTCGATTTGAGCCACTGCTGCCAGTTTTTACATCCATCACCCCATCATGCAGCGTGAGCCTGGGAAAAAGAAGTCTGAAAAGCGGCTGTTTGACGCCGTGTCCTTCGGGAAGGACCTGCTGGCTGGCGGGGTCGCGGCGGCTGTGTCCAAGACGGCGGTGGCGCCCATCGAGCGGGTGAAGCTGCTGCTGCAGGTGCAGGCCTCTTCGAAGCAGATCAGCCCCGAGGCGCAGTACAAAGGCATGGTGGACTGCCTGGTGCGGATTCCCCGAGAGCAGGGTGCGTAAAGTGGGCCACTGCGCCTGCCGCTCCCGGCTCCTGTCAGCTTTCTAGAGAGGGGGGTGGCTAGGAGGGGGGGACGATTGCAGGCCCAACAGCCACGTCTGTCGGTGATAAATTTCTTAACCTTCCAGAATTTAGTTCCTTAATCTAGCAGGCTCTGTTTTCCTAGGGCCAAGAAGGTCTCTACGTGACTGGACCTGCTGCAGGGAGACCACCACGGTCTCTTTCTCTAAATTTGTCTGCTACAGTGCACCTCCACACACTTTGCACCTGGCCCACAAGGAAAGTGGTTGATCTCTCGGGACTGAGGGAGATGCCATTAAGCACTCTAATGTAGCTAGTTAAGTTGCTTAAATTTTTGTTCAAGTAGTAATGCTTATGAGAAGTACGCATGGATGCCTTGGCACCTCATAGTATTCTGATATCTATCAGTGAAAAGAGATTCTGTTTATACTTTAGAACTATTAAAGACCAGAGCTGAGACGAATGAGACATTTACTTCTGCACAAAATTTAAGGGGGCGCCCAAAAGCCCAGTAATCAAGATAAACGGTTTTTCAATGCGATCTTTTAAAAAAATTATGCAAAAAATCCGTAAAGAACAAAATGTAAAAATTTTAAACAAATACGGGGTCAGTATTACCCATTTTTCTTTTTGCATCAGGCCCTGCCTTTATTTAAAGTTTTATTTTTTATTTATTTATTTATTTTTGAGACAGAGTCTTGCTTTGTTGCCCAGGCTAGAGTGCCATGGCATCAGCCTAGCTCACAGCAACCTCAAACTCCTGGGCTCAGGCAGTCCCTCAGCCTCTCGAGTATCTGGGACTAAGGACATGAGCTACCATGCCCAGCTAATTTTTTCTATATATATTAGTTGGCCAATTAATTTCTTTCTATTTATAGTAGAGGCGGAGCCTCGCTCTTGCTCAGGCTGGTTTCGAACTCCTGACCTTGAACAATCCACTCACCTCGGCCTCCCAGAGTGCTAGGATTACAGGTGTGAGCCACCCGTGCCCAGACTAAAGTTTTATTTTTGTTCATCATAATTTTTTTCCCCAATAATATTGAAATGATTTGAAGGAGTAAGTAATGAAAGTGCTTTGTGAACCATTGCTGCAGAATGGCTCTCAAGTTAGCTAAGGGGTAAGTTTATCAGGAATTTTATATAATCACCCGTATAGTTGGATTCAATTGAAAATTCTATATGAACTTCAAAAAATAGGCCTATTTATTGTATGTTCTGAACACGAAATGAGGTGCCTTCAACTCCAATGTAGTCCTTTCTTCCATTCTTGGGTTTAGGACAGAATACCATAAAAAAGTACTCTGTTCCTAGATACGTGGTTACAACTCTTCCTGACTTGTTGAGTGAAGTATATGGGGTCAGAGGTAGACTCTTAAGGCATCATCTACAGTGCCACTTGAAATGCCTGTCTGGGAGCCGAACCCAGGTCTTTCATAGTTCACTTCTCCCATTGTCATTCTTTTTATCAAAGCAAACTTCCAATTTCTCACAAGGTTTTTACAGGAAAAGCAGGAACCTATCCTTGGTTTATCTGCTAAGTCCTCTCCAGAGAAGTAGGGGCCTCTTTATTATTAGATTTTTCTGCTTTAAATATTTAGCCAGGTGAAATGAAGTACTCTGGTCAGGTTGTGATAACCATGCTAATTTATATTTTAAATGTGTTTTGCAATATTTAAACCTAAACACATTCAATGCAGCTCTTGTAAATTGAGATCATTCTGGTCCCTGCTTTCTTTACCTTCCAAAATAAGACAATCATAAACAGAACTCTAAGAAGATGTTTTCTGTTCTTATGTACAAGGCATTGTTATAAGTACACTGTGGTATATCCTATGCTAAGGGATCAGTAATCCACAACAGGGATACTTTTGCCATCTAGAGGCATTTTTGGAAACTTGTGGGGGATTTTTTGTTTAGTACAAAAATAGAGAGGTGTAATCCTAAATTGCAGTGATATGAAAGGCAAGTACCAGGGATGCTAAGCATCCTGCTGCTATGCATAGGCCAGTCCTGAACAATAAAGACTTAACTGTGCAACCTGAATGACTTTTAGATCTTCCACTGGGCATTGATGTAGCAGTAAAACATGTTTATGATTAAACCTAGAACCTAACTGTGATTTGCCTCTGAACACAAACTGAGGCTTAGTTTTAGTATACATTGATTCCAGTAATGCAGCTACCATGTAAGAAAGTAGAGGGAAAGTTGTACTTTCATTTGTTCAGAATTTTACTGAGAGTTCTTCATCATTATGAGCATTCATGTCAGCAACTCTGCTTGTGGTATTTGGTTAACACTTGTACAGACTGAGTATCCCCTATTTGAAATGGTTGGGCCAGAGATGTTTTGGATTTCAGATTTTTTGGCTTTTGGAATATTTGCATATTGAATATTGTACAGGTTGAGCATCCCTAATCTGAAATCCAAAACACTCCAGTAAACGTTTCCTTTGAGCGTCATGTCAGTACTCGAGAAGTTTTGGATTTTCTAGCCGTGCCATGGTGGCGCATGCCTGTAGTCCCAGCCACTTGGGAGGCTGAGGCAAAAGGATTGCTTGAGCCCAGGAGTTTGAAGTTGCTGTGAGCTAGGCTGATGCCATGGCACTCTATCCTGGGCAACAGAGTGAGACTCTGTCTCAAAAAAAAAAAAAAAAGTTTTAGATTTGGAGATTAAGGATGCTCAAACTGTATCATTTGTATTTGTAACTATTGCATTCATGATTGCATGTGTATATACACAAATATATTAAGCCCTTTTTCAAAATGTCTGTGTAGCTTAATTACAACTGATTCATTTTAAATAGAGGCAAGCATAAGACTATTATGTCTATGGCATGGTCATGGCCCACCAATTTACTTATTAAAAAATGTTATAAATTCCTTTAATTTATCTTCTTATATAGCAATGAAGGCATTATAGTGATTTTTCCATTGGAGAAGAAATCATTATCTTCAAATTTTATTTCTGGATAGTAAAGGAAATATTGTAAGATATTTAAAATATTAGAGGACTTGAGAGCCTGGGAGGATTGAAAATCACTTAGCTCAATCATTCTGGAATTTTACTGGGCAGTCAAACTCTGAGATTGTACTTTCTGGAATTTGCCTTCTCTTTTGAAAGTCAAGACACATACCTATATCAGGTGTTCTGAAGTTTTTGTAGTTTTTTTTGTTTTCTCAAATTTTACTGATAACTTTCCTTTCTTTAGACAACATGAAATGAGCCTAAGACATGAACTTGGAAGGTATTACAACTAGATGCACTTTCTCTTCTTACCTTATCTTTGCTTTCTTTCCATTACAAGGATAGATCTCTTCATTCTTGCTCTGAATATAGCTTTAGACATGTCTTTGAGTGTCTTTGATACTTTCTGTAAGCTTTCTTTTGCTCATAAAAGCTTCTGGATTTATCCTGTTATTCTTAAAGATTTAGTCTATTTAGTTGGTTTTATCACCTTCCAACTTTGTATGTGTACTTTAGCACTGCTTGCACCTTTATTATATAAATAGTACATGTTTATTGTAGAAAATTAGAAATAGAAGCAAAAAGTAAAATCCCTTAACATTTCAGTGTCTATCTTATGCTTTCTCACTGAGCAAAATATGCATATGTAAATATATTTTAATTAAAAAGACTGTCCTGTTAACATATTGTAAACATAACTTTTAAAGATCTGATTGGATTTTTAAGTCTCAAATATATTGTAAACAAAGCCTTTTAAAGATCTGATCTCATTTTTAAGAGCCTACCAGAACTCTTCTAAGAGTTCTTGGTTATGAGTTTAGCAGCCATCTTTCATCTGGACTTTTCCGAACCTATTTTTCCAAAGACTAGAACAATGAGGTTTTTAAAAATACTCTAGAGTAGTTCACCTTGAAGATGATATTTTTGGGTATGGAAACAAAATATTAGGTATTTTATTTATATGTACTTTAAGTAAAATAGGAAAATGAATTTTACTGAAATTTAATGCAAGAATTGGCACTGGCACCTGTGCTTAGGCCAATGTCAGTTACAACTCAGGACACTGAGGCATCCTGAAAAAAAAGTGGGAGTCACAAATGGTGGAATGACAGGCACCCTACCTCAACTATTATATAATAAACACATTATAGTTTATGTTTTCCTAAATAAATGATCTTATAGTTTCTATTATCAGGTTTTAACTAAATCTTCAAAGCATGGACATTTAAAAAAAATTCTGGCCCGGGCACAGTGGCTCACGCCTGTAATCCTAGCACTCTGGGAGGCCGAGGCAGGTGGATTGCTCAAGATCAGGAGTTCGAAACCAGCCTGAGCAAAAGTGGGACCCTGTCTCTCCTATAAATAGAAAGAAATTAATTGGCCAACTAATATATATATGAAGAAAAATTAACCAGGCATGGTGGCGCATGCCTGTAGTCCCAGCTACTCGGGAGGCTGAGGCAGCAGGATTGCTTGAGCCCAGGAGTTTGAGGTTGCTGTGAACTAGGCTGATGCCATGACACTCACTCTAGCCTGGGCAACAAAGCGAGACTCTGTCTCAAAAAAAAAAAAAAATTCTGCCATAAAAGTCAAATCAAGAATAATACTGATTTCAAATGAATCACAAGAAAATGACACAACTGATATCATTACTCCAGGAAATGACATATTAGTTCATTGGTCACATTACATTCAATATTGAAACGATAACAACCTGATTAGACCTGAGACAAAAAGACAATTTAAAAAGATAAAGAAGTCTATGTGAATTATAGATTATAGATTCATATACATTATTATTTGAAGATTTAACATTTTATTCAGTATACTTGAAACAAAATTTTGCTTATCAGCAATCCAAGTTGCTTACAACTCTTTAGTCCCCTTAATATTTATCTAGTTAGGATATTAACCCTTCGTCTTCCAGGATATATATCAAACTATGTTTCAACTGAGCTCATTTTCCTGTTTGAGGAATAGTAAACTGCTGGCAATATTCCTTGCATCTG